AACTAGTCCTAGTACTACTCACTACCCTATTCCTCCTCCTATCCTTCACCTCACTGTGGGGCTCTCAATCCTTGCTCGTTAATCCATCCGGTCCCTTCTTTCTTCCTTTTTCCACTTCCTTTTTTCCTTCCTCTCCGCTTCCCTTTCGGACGCTTCCCTATCCCTCTCCCCCTCCTCCTCGAATCCTCTTTCAGGATCGACATCTCGGATCTTGCTCTTAGTCCAAACCGCTTCCCCATCCGCTTATGTGGCTCCCTTCCCACTACGCTTCTGAGCTGATTTCTAACTATAGTACGACTCTGTTCCTTCCCGCCGGCAAACTTCGCTCATGTCCCGACTCCTACTTGTCTCGTTCCCCGATCTCTCTCCCTTTTGTTCCCTTTCCTTCCCTCTACAAGGATCGACTCGTGTTACCCTCTGCGAGTCTGCGACTTCCCCTCACATCAGCTTCGTCCACCGGATGTTTCGCCCTCTCCCCCAAAAAGCTCCGGGTAGGCTGCCATCCCCGGATACCTACCACCTCTGCCTATTCCCTCCATCGCCGTACATTCCTTCGTATTTTTGTGTCGATCTTTCTATTTTACAACGGCCTCTTCTCTTCCGCTTTCACCCATAAACAAGGACACACAATTACCAAAATTTCCACTCGATTCTCTTCAATGACTACAAGAGTGGGCCCAAAAAAACGTACCGCGGCCTTTTGGCGTTCAAACAGAAAAAACAGAAAATATAAAATCCCCAGTATTGCAAAATCCAAGTTCAGCCCCCTAATCATCTTCCGATACCTGACGGGTTACCCCCTATTTTTCAAAAAACCCGGTTTCGACATTCACCCTTCACTACTTTACACCCCTCTCTGCCCCATGAATCTGAATAGTCCGGGGTACTCAGTGGGAAGATAAACCCCCCACAGACCACCGGACATCCTAGCAAATCTAGCTAGGGCCCCGAGAGAGACCTCCGGGGGGTACCCCCGGAGGTGTGTTTCCATCATTAAGGCAGCGATGGCCGCCTTCATCCCTTCTTCGGATGTTGACAATCTCCACATCCGGACCAATGATTCACAAAGTGTGGCCTTTTTCGTTGCCTTTCTAGAGAAAGAGGCGAAATCCTGCATAGATTGAATCCCCAACTTCCCTTCCTCCCGAAGACACACCTGGTTCCTCGTCCGGGGAAAAACATTAATCCTGACTGGATCAATCTCAACAATAATACGATTCCCCAGGAAGTCAAAAGCAGTGCCCCCTCTGTCCTTCCTCACAAGTGACAAACTCTCCTTGTAGCAGCACTCAAATCCCTCCAGAACTCGTTCAGCCCCGGATCGTATCCGGCTGATCAGGCACAAAACCCGCCAGTACTGCCACGTCATCAATCATTCTCATCCCTCTGACTTTCATCTCTTTGACCCATCCCATATTCAAGAACTCAGACTCCGCTTTGGCACATACCAAGCATGCCAACGCAGGACTGGAATTCCTACCCATAGGAATCCCAAATACGTGCTTTAATATCCTCCCGGCACATCTGACAAAGGAATGGGCGAGCTCAAACTCCACTTCTCTCCTTACCTCATCAAATGTCAAGAGCACGAAGCCTTCTTCTTTCCTCCTCCTCTTCACCATCGCACACATCTTACCCCTCACACATACCCGTACCCCTATCATCCCTCTTCTCTCGTGGAGAGCGACAATCCAATCAACGGCTTCCATCACGCTTTCGTGCGACAGACGCGCGAACATGTCCTTAATGTCATAGCTTCGAGCCAGCACACCCGCTCCCGACTCTCGGAATTCCTTCTGAATCTCCACACACCTCTTCCCGAGTTCATCCATCGATTTCAAGTCAAAATGGTCTTTCCTCGGTAACCCAAGCAACAAATACCGAATGGCCCGACCGGTCCTTGAGCCCGCCCCTCTGGCGGGATCACCTGTGCATGGAGAGATGGGTCTCCACCTCCCCAGATCCTTCTCTTTTGGTAGCACATAGGCCTGCCCTATCTTACCCCCGGTCTGCCACCTCCCAATTTTGTCCAATCCTCTCCGTACGTACTCGGCTTTCGCCTGTCCCAATACATACTGTTCCAACTGTTGAACTTCCCGAAAACACGGATTCATAACGAAAGCCTCTTGGCACGCTCGATGATACAGCACTGGGCACAGAACCAGAGTCACTCCTGGGTTTCGATCGATCGGAACAGCCACCATCTGGCTCAATCTCCGAAATGTGCCCCTTACATCTTCAGCCGTCATTGCTGAATTCCGGATACCCTCCCATCTTTCGTAGCATCCTTCAAGTTCTTCCCTTGGTACCTGTACAACCTTCCCCTTCATCCACCTTTCAATTCCTACTCGGATACACTGTTCCAGCACACCAGGTGAAATAATGCTCCCGCATGTCACATTCTTCGAATTCCACATGAAACTCGGTATGCCTTCAACTTCCGACAATCTTATCTTCACATGGCCATCAACTCTCGATAGAGCCATATCACCACATGTGCACACAACTCTGGCCTCCTCCGCACATGTCCACTGATTGTGGATGATCACCCCCACCGTCAGTCTCTTCTTCATGACAACCCGTACCCTCTTCGCTACGAAACGTGCCACATTCTGATCTGGAGAGAGACGGATAATTGCATTCACCGTTACACTACGGATCATCCCCAATCTCAATCCTGGTGAGAACGGCACCTTGATGCATGGTTTCCTCCTCAACTCACACCCAAATCTACTCTTTCCAACACGGTTCAATATCGTCTTAATCTGGTTCCTACTCCTCTTCTCGGCAAACAGCGACGCGGTTCGATACAGTGCCACGATCTCCCGAGATGACTTGCGATACAGATGTCGAATCCTCCACGGCTGTCTGAGAACATCCCTTAAAACGAACTTTCGATGCTCAATGCATGACGGAAGAATCCTAATTCGCCCTACCCTATATTTCCCTCCTCTCTCCAATAGCCGCTTGCATTCTCTTATCGGTACCGTCCCTGTCGTGGTAACGAGAATGGTATCCCCCACTTTCCTCCGTACCGCCTTCCATGTATCTACCCATATCGACCCACCTGAGGATGAAATCACCTGGACCCCGCCATTCTTCTCCTCCATCTCTCTCAAAAGCTCAATTAAGGAAGCACGGTTATTAAACTTAATAATGGTACCCCCCAGAGGACACGAATGCTTCTTCCCTCTCTCTCGTCTTCCTTTCCTTTTCCTTGTCCTTCTTCCTTCTCTCCCCATCCCTTGTGTGTTCAAAGCCGGCGAAAATCTTCTGATCAGATCGCTTTCAACACTCAATAAATCACGAATTCCTTCAACCAGCGGTAAAGCCAGATATTTTCTCCAACCAAACAACCGCAACCACGCATGGAGCTTCGCATTCCCCAAGTCTCCCCTAATCGCTAGGCTCACATGATCCGACCATCGCGTAATGACTGCTCTGGTAGTGCACCCAACATAAAAGTGCCTACACCAAGGACTCACCAGAGCGTATACCCCTGGGTTCTTTGTGGATACGTCATGGTTGTTTCCTCCTGTCAATCCTACCCATTTCTTCGCCCAAGGACAGTTCCCTCTAATAACCCAGAGAAGGAATAACCTGAAAATTCGATTCTCACAGGCAGCACTCAATCTCCCTTTCCCTCCAACCATCTGTTCCCTCCGGCCCATCATCTCCCTTTCCAGCTCAATCAGACTTACCTCCATTACTTCTCAAATAATGCGGCAATGCGCCCGTTTTCAGCAAACTCACCATACGCCAGTTTTGCCTTGCACTTTACCAATTCGCCTATCACTGTGTCCCTCTTTGACCACTCAATCCCCTCTCTGTTGCACAGCTTCCGCAGCTCCTTAACTTTCTTCTCAGATAGGTGCCGTTGCATTTCAATCGCGAAGTCTAAAAATCCCGAATCAACCTCATTAGTCCTCCGGTTCGGCGGAGGAGTCCGGTCCTCCTCGTCATCCATTCGGACTGGATCTTCCCTGAAGCCTCTCCTCTCTACTCTCATCCTCCCCTCATTTTCCCGTACTCTCCCTTTCCCTTTTCTCTTTTCAATGGCATCTACTAATCTCCCGACTTCCTCTCTCACCTCCTCACTATCCTCATCCGATTCGTCCAGGTAGCTCCGGATCTCACGAAGAACCCTCGCTTTCGTTTTTGGCGACTTCTTCTTAACACCAGAGCTCTCCGGCTGCGAATTCCCTTTCGTATGCTGCGCCAACAATTTAATCAATCGGGCTTCAAGTCTCGCTTCTCGTGCATCGGCATGATTCGGCATCCCTTATTCGTTCGAGCTCCTTCCAATTCTCTTCTTCTTTCCGCCTCCATTCCTCCTCCTCCTCCTTCTCCCTCCTCTCATCCTCCATTCTCCTTTTCCTAATCTTCTCGCGGAAGTACTCTCGCATTTCCTTCGTCTCATCCTCCGTCCCGGTACTCGGTGCTGGTGCCTGCTGATTGGGTGGTCTACTGTTCCCTCCAGCCCAGCAGTTCCGGGCGTAATGACCCGTTTTCCCACATATGAAGCACGACACCGCACTTGGTTGGTTTCCACCATTATACGGCACCCCGTTCACAAATCCCGTCATCCCCGGAAACCCTTGGTTCTGCATCATGAATGACTTCTTCTTCTTGCCTGTCTTCTCCTCCTCCTCCTTCTATCCCTCACAATACAACTTACGCTATAAAACCTCCCAAGGAACCTTTCTAGTATACTAACTAATTCCTCCTTCGTAGTATCGTTCGGAAACTCTACTGCAACAAAGATTAAGGGTACAACCTTA